CTTCTCGCTGCCGCACTTGGCACAATATGGCCTACTGGCAGAAGGTGGGAGGGTTATAAGATCTAACATGGCCAAATTTGACGGATTAAGTGGTCTTCGTCCTAAGAAGGAGGGCTCTTCAACAATTGTTGACAATGACTCGCTGCTGATCTTAGATTCAGCATCAGTAGCAGATTTGTCTGAACCTACTGAGGAAGGAAGTGGTTCACTTTTCTTGAGAATGCTTGTTTGTTCAGGTTTCTCCTTGGGGCATGGCACTTTTGTATCCTTAGGTTGTACCAACGTGTTCATCATCACAGGGGTCAATGTTAAGGCTTTTCTCAAGTTTAGCCTGAGCCTGCAATTGAAAATATGAATCACAGTATAAATGGTAGATACATGAAGTACAGAATCCCCTATGGCACTGCCATGTTAATGAACCATATAGTTTGACTAACAGATTTTTTTTAGATATAAACAAGAATAGTGCTCCAGGAATGGACAATATCTCATATTTATTGCTCAAGAATCTACCAGGCTCAACACTACACTCACTATTAAACATATACAACTGCCTATCGGGTATGCAAATTCCTAACAGCTAGGAATAGCATTTGATATACTCCATACTAAAACAAATAAAGACCCAAACAACCTCAACAACTATAGACCTCTGATTCTAAGCTCGTGCGACGGGAAAACACTAGAGATTTTGATCAAAAATAAACTAGAGTGGGAACTCGAAAGCAAGATAACTTTTAACCACCTGCAGACAGGATTCAGAAAAGCACACTCTACCCAAGACAACCTCGCTTTCATAGTTTCCAACATACACATTCACAAAAAGAAAACACGTTATCAGTCTTCCTAGACATCAAATCAGCATACGACAACGTAAACATTTTCTATTATACTAATAAAACTTGGACTACCTAAACAAATTTGCAATCTAATTTTTAATTTACTGAATAACAGAACAGTATATACAATAGATAATGAAAACAATATACATAGCAAAACAAGGTGTGGATACTAACTCAGAATACGCTGCCTCACAACAAGAAAGCTAATTCACGAAGCTGCAGAAAAAGGATACAATATTGAACCGGCTTGGATCCCAGAGGAAATGAAACGGCAGACACCCTAGCTAACTTAGGAAGACAACTCAGAATCCCTCAAGATACGAAACTTACCATACCCGATATACTAACTCAGGCCAAAACAAAAATAAAGGAGAAATTCACAACAATGTGGAAGCGAACATTCATCATTAAAGGCAGGTGGTATGAGAAAATACAAGAAGAATTCCCGGTCAAACCATTTTACTCCAACAATCCCGTATATAAGCAGAAGACACCTAACAGCCATAATCAGAATGATTACAGTCACAACAAATGAGCTGGCGGATTGTACACGTGTACAGAAGCCATGAGGAATAAAGAAGAAGAACTCTGAATGTTTTCAAAAAAAAAAAATCTTTTTTGTGAAAATACAAAATCCTTTATGCAAAAATTACGCAAATCCAAGATGCCATTTAATTGTTCTTGTTAATATAAACCAGTTTGGAAATATGATAAGGGGATTAGTGCACAGACCGTTTTTTAAAACCGATTTTTTCAGTATGTATATTATATTAGTATATTTTCAAATGTCTCTATATCTCAAAAGGTTTTCCCATAAATCATGACATTTCTACAAATTTTTCACCATTATGTTACTTTTTTTATATCTCAAAAATAAAAAGTGAGAAAACTATGGGTATGTTAACAGGAATAATGAATAGGAGTACCCTAGAGCCTCAATCCTATTGTTATACTTGTCAAATTTGACTGATGCTAGCTGAAATACCGTTCTATTTTGTGAAATGAGTTATCCTGGCGTCATCTGACAATTTTTCACAGTTATGTTAGCAAAGGTAATACTTCAGAATAGCAATTATCACTGAAAATGTTTTTTTGCATTGAATGCTTTACCTGTTTTACAGTGTCCTCTTGAGTAGGCTGTGGTGTTCTAGTGGATGTACTAGCCTTTGTGCTTGGGCCAGATTTAGACGCTTTATCCTAGAAATTAAATTGAATTAAATATATATACAATTTTTCCCAAAAAAAAAAAATTAGTGTTATCCTGGCGTCATCTATGAAAATTTTTCACAGTTATGTTAGCAATGGTAATACTTCAAAATAGCAATTATCACTGAAAAATGTTTTTTTGCATTGAATGCTTTACCTGTTTTACAGCGTCCTCTTTAGAAGGCTGTGGTGTTCTAGTGGATGTACTAGCCCTTGTGCTTCGGCCAGATTTAGACGCTTTATCCTAGAAATTAAATTAATATATAGGGTGATTCAAAAACAGTGGCAATATTATTTCCATGTCAGAAAATAGATCCAAAAATAACAAATGTTCTTTCAAAGATGTACTTCAAACCAATTTTTCTCCAAAAGGAATATTACAACAAAAATTTCTCAAGAGAGACAAATCATCTAACTTCAAATAGTATTAAAAAATTCAACATTCAGTGACATAGAAAATATTTTCATGTTTCTTCTGTAATCATAATTGATGTTTATCAACATTCAGTGGCAATAAAACTATTTTTAATATTTCTTCAGTAGGGATCAAAATATTCAAATTTTTACCTCAGTAAAGGTACATTTTTGGACTCATTTTTATATGAATTTTCCGTGTTATTTTCGGACCTAAATTCTGCACTGGAAATATTACCCGCTTTTTAATTTAATTAATTATAAAATTGCTATACAATGCAACTGTTGAACAATCTTCCAAATTTATGTGGCACACAAAAGCCAAAAATATATCAAGTTAGTAAAAGAAGTGTCAAGTATAAAAAATGTCCTACAGTTTTTGCACTGAATATAATAGATATTAGTAATAATGGTGACAATATTACAAGGGAAAAATAATTCTTGAGATTTCACATTTGAACCACTCAAAAAGAGTGTTGTCAATGTTTAAAAAGAAGTTAAGCATTATCATTTTACCTCTGTATCACTTGTAGATGTTCCAAGTTTCGGCCAGTCCAGTTTTTTGTTGTTCTAGAAATTTGAGGCGAATAAAAAAAAGCTTTTAGTAAGGTGCAAAATTATAAAATGTTATACAATGCAATCGTAAACAATCTTCCAAATTCACATGACATATACGAGGGATGTCTTTTAAGTTTTGCATATAAAAACATAGTAGGTCGCGCGGATCGAACGCCAGTACTGAATCTTAACCTCACTCTTTAGTAAACTTAAATTCAATTATAAAAATGGAACTCAACCGAGAACATTTTCGCGCATTAATTTATTACAACCTTCAGAGACAATTATCGCAACACGAATGCCTTGCTGTGTTACTGTCTGTTTTCGGCAACGAAGCGCCACATCAGTTGACAATTTCCCGTTGGTATGGAGAATTCAAACATGGACGGGTGAGTCTTAGCGACGATCCCAGGGTGGGTGCACCAAAAACGGCAGTCACCCAGGAAAACGTCGATTAGAGTAAGAAAATTAGTTTCTCGTGGATACCCAACCTGTTGACTGAAGAGCAGAAAGCAACCAGGGTTAATTGGTGTCAAAAAACGCTTGACCGTTTCAATTCCGGAAACTCAAAAAATGTGTACAGCATCGTTAGTGGTGATGAATCGTGGATTTACTGTTATGAACCAGAAAATAAACGACAGTCGGCTGTTTGGGTGTTCCAAGGTGAAGAAAATCCAACAAAAGTCATCCGTTCTCGAAGTGTTTCGAAAAAGATGGTCGCGAAATTTGTGTCAAAGCGGGTCATATTGCAACAATTCCTCTTAATGAGCAAAGAACTGTTACTGTGGATTGGTATACCACCATGTTGTTTGCCAAAAGTAATCACCGAGCTTCGAAAAATCAACCCCGAAAGAAGAAGTCATCTTCCACCAAGACAATGCAAGCTCGCACACAGCCCAAAAAACAAGGCAGTATTTAACGGAAGAAAACGTGGAATTATTGGACCATCCTCCATATAGTCCCGATCTGAGTCCTAACGATTTCTTTACTCTCCCGAAAATTAAAAACAAACTGCGTGGTCAAAGGTTCCAGTCACCAGAAGAAGCAGTTGACGCATTAAAAAATGCCGTTTTGGATCTGCCAGCAAACGAGTGGAATAAGTGCTTCGAAAATTGGTTCGAGCGCATGCAGATGTGTATTAATCTCTTCATGGAGAATACTTCGAAAAACATAAAGTCATTTAAAACTACCTACCGTGTTGTTTTATTTCCATATGCAAACTTAAAAGACAATCCCTCGTAAAAGTCAGTCAAAAATATATCAAGTTAGTATAAAAATCTCCTACATTTTTTGCAGTCTATATAATAGAGAGTAATAATGGTGAAATATTACAAGGGAGACAATAAGCAATTAGTTAAAAAAATAATTCTTGAGATTTCACATTTGACCACTCGAAAAGAGTGTTGCAAATGTTCAACATTATTACCTTACCTCTCTTTTACTTCGGCGCAACTGCGGTCCTGCAGATGTTTCGGGTTTGTTGGAATCCTAGAAATTTGCAGTGAATAAAAACTAAGCTTTTGATAAGGTGCAAAATTCTAAAATTGTTATACAATGCAACAAATTCATATGGCACACAAAGGTAAGTCAAAAGTATATCAAGTTAGTGTAAAAAAGTCCTACACTGTTTGCACTGTATATAATAGATATTAGTACTAGTGGTGAAAATACTAAAATGGAGTCAATGACCAATTAGTTGCAAAAATCCAAAAATGCTGTATTTTTTAATATACTTATGTTTCAAAGTCAAAACCCAAATTACCTCATCTTGCTGCCACTTCCTCCACCTTTTCCTCTTCCTTTCCCTCTGCCCCTGCCCGATTGTTCTGTTCCAGTCATATCTGGTGGTGAGCCTACCAAACTTGGTGATGAATCACTCAGGGAAGTTTCACTTCTCTCGTCATTTTGACTATCATCACTAGTTGATTCCCCTGGGCTCTTTGCAGCTACATGTTTCTGGTCTACCTTTTGGGTATCACTACCAGAAGATGTAGTGGCACTGTCTCAGCAACATGTTGCTGATTTTTCTGACTCTCGCTGCTAGTTACTACACTCTCGGTGCTGGCAGTAATCTCTAGTTCTTGAAAATCAGCCATGGTGCTGATCTTGCTTACAGTAGCCCCAATTTGTTGTTCTAGTGTTGGGATTTTTTCAATGCTGGTTGACACGTTTGATACTGTTTCGTCCTCTACAATACTTTCATGGCTCTTGCCTCGGGCAGCAATAAATTGCTGAGGGCTTATGACAACTTTGTTTTTTGGATCATTTGGGAAGATGTTAAATGGTATCGGACACCAGTCTAGATCCACAACTTCTTTATCATGTCCACGTAATTTGGAAATGATGCTGCCTTTGCCTGAAAATGAACAAATGCTTTGTTCAAATGACTGTTGAATTTTTGGGTATCAATAAAAACTGTCAAAATTAAGACAGATTTTTAAAGGACTTTTTTGAGCATGACATGGTATTTGACTTTTGAAAAATTGAATAACGATTCATCAAGGCATCACTAAAATACATTTTGAGCACTCCTAATTGTAGCATACCTTTCAGATCAACAATTAAAATAAGGCCAGTTTTCAAACCAAATGCAGCAACATTTGGATTGTGGGGGCAAATTGAGCAGCCTGTCACTGTAACCTTTACGGAGCCAAAAATATTTGACAAATGTGACATTTCGTTACGGATGTAGTTCCATAAGACAACATGACCATCATTGGACACACTCAGGATTTTGTCAGAGCCACAAAATTCAGCAGCTATAACCTTCTCGCTTTGCAACTACAAAAAAAGTAATGTAAATTAGTATAGTTGGAAGTTTATGTGAATCAGTTGAGTATCTTGTATTTGGTATATTCAATTTTGTATGCAATAGGTCATTTGTACATAATAATAACCCAAAATGCTGATGGGGCTAGCCTGTATAGCTAACTTCCAAAGTGTGGGAAAATCATATGCAGCATACATATAACTTATAGCTATATACTTATAATAAAAATTTCAAAAGATAATAGAAGTGGCGACAGTTATCAATTCAGAAATTAAATATTTAACTACTTGTAAATTGTAACTGTAGCAGCTCCTTTTTAAATTCTTTTTTGAAACAATGAATGGATGTTAGTTCTAAATCATTACCGATGAATATATGATACCTCATTTGAGTATCAATATGAATAATTTATAACCCTGGAATATAAACCTTTCAAAATGGTGCAATGGCAGGCTGTCAAAGTTTTTGTAGAATTGCTTATAACTCAACATCCAATCATGAAAACTCTACAATATCAATTTTCATCTTTCGGAAGGATCTATCTAAACATTTAATAAGTTTTCATCAGAATGCCCCTTAATGTATTGCATATTCAGAAAAACTCTTCCAAAATAAGATTCATATAACACATTATAGTGTTCTGATGGTTAGTTTGAATTATAAGCCAGACTATATACAAAAATCCTCAACTTTGACAGCCTGCCATTCTGCTATGTAGAAAGTGAGTGAATGCATATTCATAGTAGCTTCAAAATGATGTACCATGCATATGACCTTCCTTTCCATTGAAAAAAATGTTCCACTTTTACACAATTCACGCATAAATTTCATCATGCTAACTTGACTTATTCAAAGAATACAAAAGCAAGCACTGTATGGTATGCTGTTTTCTGAATATTGTTATTGTGGATTTTGAAAACAAAGATACTTACATGTTGTTGGTGCATTCCCATAGTATCATAATGTGCCATATCCCAGAGCTTAACAAATTTATCCTCGCCTGCTGTGACAAGAAGCTGTTTTTCACTCCATTTAGGATTTATGGCCAAGCTTGTGATTCTGGAAAAAATAATTTGGTTGAGAAGTTGCTCACTAGACCAAATAAAAAACCCTGACTTTCAAATGAATCTTCTATTAGACAAGCAGCATTAAATGCCTCACTTTACCTCAAGTAGAAAATATAACCCTGACTTTCAGCCGAAAAAAAAGCACTCATGGGCAATGGGTACAACTTTTAAATGACTGGCTTTCATTGCAACCTGAAGCCCCATTCACTTACTTTTTGTTGCTTAAAACCATGTTCAGCCTCCCCCATAACTTTTGAAGTAATGAAACAATTTTCATCAGACACATCTCAGACAAGATTTTCAATTAAAAAAAAGGCTTATAATACTACTTGATTTTGGGTCAGGGGTGAAAAATTATTCATAAACTAGTAATCAATCAATAAAAACATAGTTGTATTGGGTGATCTGCTATAAATTGGCGCCCCTCCAACATGTTGTATGCCCGTTAAAAAAAAAAAAAAAACATTTACAAAAGTTATCGGGTTGTATAAAGTTTTTCATGCAACATCTGTTTTGCATATAGTGCATCACAAAAAATGTGAAGGGGCCTCGGTTGGCCGCGTTGGTCAGAGTGTCGAGCTACTGATCAGCCAGCCGGCCAGGCCAGCGAGTTCGAATCTCGCCTTCGCCATGGATGTTGTGACGTCGTTTGTTTGTCCATAATTAGAGAAATATAAGTAACACACATCTGTGGTAAATGGATAACTTCCAATGCCAAAACAAAAAAAAAAAAATATGAAATAAAGTTGAATGTTTTGAATGGAATACCCCTTAATTTTAGTGAACATGATGGTTTTTCTGTTTCTAATTATACATGCACCTATGCACTGAAACAGTTAAATGTAGAATTGTCTGGGTTCAATCAACCTACCTCTTTGAGTGAGCATGTTTCATGATATGGAACCTTGGTAAAGCTGATTTACTGGCGATATCCTTAAATACCATTAAGTCACATCTAGTACCATAAATTAGTGTATCATCTGGTGAATAAACCATAATTTTTGTCTCGAACCAGTTGGGTGCACTGGGGATGACTATGTTGCTATATGGCTAAAAGAAAAAAATAAATAGATATAGTAAGATATCAGTGTTACTGATTAAACCCCTTGTCTAAAACTTATCTCAGGAAAAAAATAGCAGCGTGTTGAAGAAAGTGTATGTCTTTTTAGGCCTAGTTTACTGTAATTTTTTTGTTCTCTGTTGAAATCCTTAAGCTAGGTACTGTTCAGAGTTTTGGAAAATCTAAATATCCAAGCCTTATACACGTGTGGGCTAAAGACAATGAAAACTTTATTGCTCTTGATAGAAAACACTCCGTAGTTGATGGAATGTCCTTTGACTACATGCACTTATTTTCATTTTAAATATAAAGTTTTCAAAACCGGTCGGACATCATAACCTCAATGAATGTTTTTAGAGCTACATTACAGAAAAAATAAAAATAAATGTAATACAAAAGCAGTGGAAATAACCTACTTCGTCCATCATAAGGCCTTTGTACTTGGTTTAGTGAGTGCTCAAAAGAGATTTCCTATTAAATTTTACGTTTTCCAACATATAAAAAGGCGAAGATACAAAACCGCTTATCATAACGAAATTTTTGACGTTTACGAACCAAGCAACCAAGGACCAAGGTAGCCACCACAAAATATATACACGGAGTCGCCAACGTTGCCATTACAAAACACAGGATGGCGACTAAATGCTAGTGGTTGAAAGAATATTCGGTACCACCGACGATATATAGATATATTATATCGTCGGTGTTCGGTACCCCATGATCTAGTGATCTCATTCGTTATAAGAAAGCATGCATTGAGGTTTTTCAATGACAAAAAGTGGAAAAGACGCATCAGCGTTTGCATTAGAATCAGATATAACTTTTTGTTGACATTTAGTGTTGCCAGAAGTAGCGGAATTCCGCTACTGGTAGCAGAATTTTCAAGTGGTAGAGGTGTAGCGGCGGAATCGGATTTTTTGTCAAAAGTAGTGGATTTTTGCAATTTAGGTACACATGATGACATATGTTTACCAGAAAAAAAAAATGACTAGTTAATGTACAGGTAGTAATCAAACCTAAATACATATATCTTTTCAATCGACAGTGGTTACCACCGGCCGAAAATTCTTATTCAACGGACGCGCGTATAGATGACCGTAGGTGGTAAGAACACAACCTAAGTGTATTTCCAAAGTATGACTAACAATTTTGTCGACGGGACATTCTCATATATGGAAATAATCAAAACAAAGAAAAGGAATCGATTTTACCTTCAACTTTGTCCGCGTTTCGTGTGATATTTCTTTAATATGACTGCATAATAAATGTTCTGTTGTTTGCAATATTGTATTAGTTTTTATAGTCAAATGTTTTTGTATTACAGTTTTATGTTATATTTAATCACGATGTTTATAGTACAAATGCTTTTTATAGTTTCATGCTCTTTTATATTCTGTTGTTTATTTAATTATTATATTATTGAATTTTGTTTAGTTTTTTGACACAACTTGTATAATAAATGTCCCCCTCTTTTATAGTGCGCCTCTACCCCCTCCCCCCCACAATGTTGGCTCTGGCAACACTGTATGACATTACCCATTCGAATTCAACTTCGATATTTTTATGACATTTGACATTTATTACACCTGTTTGTTTTCATCTTCGGCCCCTTGTTCCGTGGCCCTTATTTTTGATTTGTGAAAAAAATAATTTCACATTTTCCGAATGAGAAAAATAAAGAAACAACCACCGGTTGATATAAATTTATCTCTATAAATGATATCATTAATTGATAAGAACCATTGTTCGCCTGGGCGGATAATCAGTGCAATTATTCACCTCAGTTTTGTGGTTTTTAGAAGGTCGACAATCAATAAAGATTATTTTGTTTCAGGAATGTGATTTGTCTGAACAAAAACACTCACAAAGATGTCAAAAAATAAGTTAAATCTCACACTACCTCCTGGTTCTATAGACCAAACTCCAACTGTAACTCCAACTTCTTCTTTTAATGAAAAATCTACTGTGTAAGTATCTTTTCTCAAAGCTGAGCATTGAAAGTTTTATTATGGTTTATAACTGAGATGTAGAACATTATAATTGCTATATGTATGTCATTTCCATATTAAACGTGATATTTATCAAAGCCAGTGAATGTGAAATGCTTAGCCAGATCTTATCCAAGCTAAAATGTTGCTTACTCTCATTTTTCAAACTTGAGGTTATAAGCTGTAAATTAAATTTCTTGAACAAGGTAGATAGAAATATCTTTTTTAGCCTGACAGATTATATGTTAATCATATTTAGAATACTGGTGGAATCATATGCCTTTTTGTAATATATTATTTCACATGAAAAGTGAAGTTCACAATTACAGTTGAAAAACCATTACTGACAATGGAAGCAACATTTTTAAAATGTGTTTTTTTTTGCTGCAACAAATTAACATCTGTGTATATAATAAGAGTTTACTTAACTATTTTACCAAGATGCATTGCTATTTCACACTTACTAAAATTAAAATTTCACTTGGTGCATTCTGCAGGATCGACTATTTCATCACTATTAAGGAATACCAATCACAAGTGAGTGCTCCTGAATAGTTTGAGAATAGCTGAGATTGCAAAATGCTACTATTCATAGTTTTTGCACTCGGGCAGGTTTCAGAGATTCTATTGTACCAAAACTGTTAGTATCATGTTTTTAATTGTAATTAGGTAAATTAAAGCAAAGCAAATATTTTGACCCCAGTTTTTTCAAATTTGAGATGTTTTATAATTGCCTCATACTGATCTACCTTGATCTCATCTTTTTTATCATCTAATATTCTTGTTCAATATTTAATACTAAGGCTCACAACATATTTGATTTAGACATCATGAAACATATAAGAAAATATCTCACATTTGTAATTTTTTCTGGTCACAATAATATTTCCTTTGTTATGTGTGTAAGTAAAAGATCTCAATGTAGAAAATTTTCAAATTGAAATTTAATACATCTTTTGCACCTCTACATCAAAGGAAGCTTCTCATTAACTGAAGTTGCAGACCTAATAGCCTAGTTAGAGGAAACAGCATAGATAATCTAACAGCAAGATTAGAGGAATTAGATATGGATGATACTCAAAGAAAACGGATAGAAGTATTCCTTTGCCAAAAAGAAAAAATAGGAGGAGACTTATCAGATGATGACTTTGAAAAATTAGGTGAACTTGGATCAGGAAATGGTGGAGTTGTGACTAAAGTAAGACATAAATGTAGTGGTCTGATCATGGCAAGAAAGTTGATTCACCTAGAAGTCAAACCAGCAATCAAGAAGCAGATCATTCGGGAACTGAAAGTTCTTCATGAGTGCAACTTTGCGCACATAGTAGGGTTTTATGGGGCATTCTATAGTGATGGCGAGATAAGCATTTGTATGGAATATATGGATGCTGGGTCGCTGGACTTGATACTTAAGAAAGCAGGCCGTATTCCCGAAAATATTCTAGCAAAAATAACTTCAGCTGTTCTAAAAGGATTGAGTTATTTACGTGATAAGCATTCAATTATGCACAGAGATGTAAAACCTAGCAATATATTAATAAATAGCAGTGGTGAGATAAAAATCTGTGATTTTGGTGTTTCTGGACAACTCATTGATTCCATGGCTAACTCATTCGTAGGAACTAGGAGTTACATGTCGGTAAGAATGCTCACTGATGAATTACAAGAATTCAAAGATCATTCCTTTTTCTTCTCTCTCTTTTGAAATACTCAAAGACCATACCCACTTGTGGGCTTCCCATCCATCTGTCTCCGAGACTAGACCAATACAGCACTAATGAGTTGCTAATAAGCATGAACTAGCACTGTATGCAGTTAGTTATGGTTACAGAGATGGAAAGCACATGTCAATTTCAGCCATGTTTAGTATTGTACAGACTTGGAGATGCCACTTGCTGGTCAGCTGTTTCCTTCATTAGCCATTGAAATATGATGAAGTATCATGACAAAAGATTGGGAAGAAAGAGCTCTAAGACAACTTCTCTAAGGCCACCTTTATACTTCGAGGTGTGGGCCAAGGGTGCTGTATAGGGTTGCCAGATGTGCCATATAGAATCAAATAATATTAAATTACACCATATTCAAATGGTATTTACACAATCCTCACGATCTTATATTCTCTCACTTGTTTGTATCTTTTGTCATGGCATAATTAAATAAAGCTAGAAGAGTCCAAATTGTTGTTTGGCAGTGACTATTTTCACACGGTTAAACACGAAATTAGATGTCCAAAAAATACCCAAAGGTTTTGCTACCCACAAACGAAACCTCGCATGAAATTATGCCCTAAAAATTCCCAAGATACAGAAATCGCCCCAGGATGGGGAAAATCACCTAATATGGTAACGCTGCAAACGCGTCTTATCTCAATTTCGTGAGAAACTATCCACAGTGAGAAAATATAAAAGTGCGAGAATTGCGTAAATACCATCTAAATATGAAGAATATAATATGCTTTGATTCAACTCGATCCATCTGGCAACCCTGTACACACACGTCGCCGCCACGTCGAAGTAGAACTGCGGCCTTACCCTAACCTTGGTAACATTGCAGCCTGAGAGACTCCAAGGAACACACTACTCAGTACAAAGTGACATTTGGTCTCTGGGCCTGTCATTAGTCGAAATGGCATTAGGCATGTATCCGATTCCCCCTCCAGACGCGAAAACATTGGCGGCAATTTTTGGGTCGAAGAACGACCACGACTCACCCGACCACACCAAAGGACCCAGGCCAATGGCAATCTTCGAGTTGTTAGATTATATTGTTAATGAACCTCCACCCAAGTTGCCTTCAGGAATATTCACCGACGAGTTCAAAGATTTCGTCGATAGATGTCTTAGAAAGAACCCCGACGAAAGGGCCGATTTAAAAACGTTAATGGTTAGTATCTTTTAGTCAAAGGAGCTTTTGATTTTTGCACCACTCCCAGAGTTGCAGTTTCGCATAACATAACACTGCTTTGGACAGGATTCAAAGAGTATTGAGGTTAGGAAATTTCG